AACCACCCATGCTAGTTATTTACTGTACTGTGAAACCTCGTCCCAGTCCACCGGAATCAAAACAAAGAACATAATGGACAGAGGCCTTATCTCCTTGACTTCCAAAAAAAAGTAGTAAAGGTTTATAGAAGAGTACATAGAGCCTCACCCAACATTTTGATTCTAAAGGCACGTTTCTTTATAATAGGGAACCAATTGAGGATGTATGTGTATACAAAATTCTTAATAATTCGTCATACATTTTGATACTTTTGATATGAAAATCAAATAAATCCACAACATATAGGTACTGAACGTCATGATCCGCTGATGGATGGGTGCCCATTGGTTTGGACCAAAGGGCGAAACGAAAAAGGAAAAGGCAAAGCCATCGGAAATATATGGATTTAGCCAGGGATGCAATTTCAGATTTCCGCGAAGAGGGTTAGTTACAGGGGATGATTAGGGCCGAATATTCAGTAATCTTGTTCAAAGGACTCAGCAGATATTGTTACCAATTCACACCAACAAACTAATCAAACACAAACACCTTCCAACAATGCTTCTATTGTGACTTGAAGGTTTGCGTTACTCTTACATGATTGAAAAATTCACTATTTTATGGTTTTATATTTGTATAGGACATGAATATAAAGTAGGCCTATTTAAATATACAAATTCGAAACATCAAGGACATACAAAACGTGAATTAAAAAGGAAGGGTTGAGACACAGCTGACCAGGGATAAGCTAAAAGTAATCTCTAACTTAGCGTATTTAATTCATAAGCGCCAATGGACAATAATAGTGGTGTCTACGTAGCCTTCTGTTTGTGTAGCTCATTTGCGGACTACTTTGGGCAGCTTGTCCCCCAAATAAAGCCCCTGGATTCAGCGAATCTGCATGCAGTGTAACCACGCCATTAAGATTAAAATATATTTCATGTCCCCTATAACCATGGCTAATTATAGTTTGAATATTTAGATTTACAAATTACAAACACAAAGAATGACACTCATACATAAGCATTTGTTAATGCTACGATCTTTCATTGTACTTAAAACGTAACATTTTTTCAGGTACATTTGATTTTTTGTACAAATGTACGTACAAGTACCCTTGACCCCAGCTTGGTGTATATATAAATACACACACACACATACACACATATATAAATTGTGTTTGTTTGTTTGTTCGTTTGCGTTCGTGTGTGTTTGCCTTTATGTTTATGTGTGTGTGTGTGTGTGTGTGTGTGTGTATGTGTGTGTGTGTGTGTGTGTGTGTGTGTGTGTGTGTATGTGTGTGTGTGCATAATGTAGTAGAGACAGAGTGACAGAGATTCGGGGAAGGTTGATATATATATTTGTATATGTGTGTTTATGTCCGTCCGTACGTACGTATGTATGTATGTATAAGCATAAATGAATCTATATGTGTGTAGGTGAGTATGTTCACATATATACACGTATATAAACGCAGAAACAGTCTGGGACCTTACAGTGCCATGACGCCGGTGCTGAACCACAGAGATAGGTGAATTTCCGTTCCCCGGCAACTGTGAATTGGTCTTCGTTGCAGACTCCTGCAGGAGGAAAGCGAAAAAATGTGGAACAATCCTGCCATAAACCTTATGGCATTGAGTTTCCTCTTACCCTGTTATCATCGAGCCTCGGATTTCAGAACTCAGCACTTCACCTCCACTGGGCCGCATAATATTTGTGCATTTGGGAAGTGAACATCAGGGGAAGTTGCAGTGAAGATTTTAGTAGCTCGCTGCATGAGAGCGGATCCTGATTTTTTCTGCAGTTGCCAGTAAAGTTTACTTCTGGATTTGACTGTCTATATAAGCAAGCAAATATTAGTACTGAAAACGCCCTTATTCTTCTTACATTTCTTTTTTAATGGAGAGAGAGAGAGAGAGAGAGAGAGAGAGAGAGAGAGAGAGAGAGAGAGAGAGAGAGAGAGAGAGAGAGAGAGAGAGAGAGAGAGAGAGAGAGAGAGAAAGAAAGAAAGAAAGAGAGGCTACTGCAAGTCCACGAATTTCACATCCTTGGCGTCCACTCACCAAAGCCGTCTGGGGCAACACTCTCGAACTCGACGAAGTCAAGCCGCAACTGGCATGTTTCTGGCTTCCTCGTAATGGACATGATGCAGGTCTGGGCCTCGTTGTACGTGCCTGGATAGTTGGGGCTCACCAGGTACGTGCAGTTGGTGGAGGACGAGCCGCCGCACGTGATCTCTTCTGTGACAGGAGGCGGAGAGTAATGTTGCTTGGGTAAAAATATTGCAGCAAATTGTGTTCTTACTACCTATCTCTTTTCCTTTACACGCTCTACTGTCTACAGCACAATGAAAATATTTGAAAGCAATTTATTTTTTACTCATATTACTTAACCCTTAAAAGGAACTCACTGTAGCAGCAGACGCCGAAGCCCCTGGCACAGGAGCCGATCTCAGTCCCTCCTTCGCGACGGCACTCGGAGGCGGTGTAGCAAGTGCCGCTGTTGCCATTAACGACGCAT